TCGCAGAAGCGAAAATGGACTGACTTGGGAGGGGCGCAGGTGCGAGGATTTCCCCGTATAAGCGAGACCGCAGGAGCGGTCAGGGTCTCGTAGGAGCGAGAGCGCAAGATCGGGTTTTGTCTGCGGAAGCGGATTTGGCTGAGTGAAATTGAAACTGCACATGCGATGGGAATTTCCCCAGGTATGGAGCCGCAGGAGCGTCTGACGGACCGCAGGTGCGGAGGTCGGACTGGGCAGGGTGTTCTTTAAGACGGGATTTGGCCCATTTTTCTTTCACTCTTCACTTGGTTGGGTCGATTTTGGAGAGCTTCAAGGAGGGATTTTCATCAAGCAACACAAGGTAAGTGATTCCCACCTATTGCAAGTTAAATACTTGGATTATATATAGATTTTAACATGGAAATTCATGGAAAATTTGGGATTTTGGTAGAAAACCTAGAAATTGATATTTTTGGATTTTAACCACAAATTTGGGCATGGAATTGGGAATAAATTATATATTTGAGTTAGCAATGTTATGGGTAATGTTTATCTTCGAAATTTTTCGTATTCCGGGCACGTGGGCCCGAGGGTTTCCCTTATCGACTTTTCGAGCGAAATTGGGAATTTGTTTAAATTGATTGATAATGGGTATTAGAGTATATTTTGATTGGTTTGCACCTTATTTGACTATTTTTGGATCGACGGGCATCGGTTTGAGGTGTTAGAGAGGCTTTGGAGCCGGTTATGGAATTTCGAAGCGAGGTAAGTCTCCTGTCTAACTTTGTGAGGGAGAAACTACTCCTAGGTGATATGTTTAATATAATTTGTTGCGGGGGCTACGTACGCATGAGGTGGCGAGAGTCCTTACGTAGTTAGATTCATGTTATTATCCGGGTAGACACCATGCTATACTTGTATTATAGGGAATATCTTTGCTCGCTCAATTCTTTTATTTTGCATTACGACTTGAGACTAGACATGCGTAGAGTGATAGACTTGCTATTGTAGAGATTTCTCGAGTTTCATGATTTGACACGGAGTAATGGTGTTCCTTATACGCGCGCTATGCATTTTCATCGAACGATTTTCCTTAAAAATTATAACTCACACGTTTATTCGTGAGTGGGGTTCAAGGACCCGTCTAAGCTTCTTATTCTAATGGGATCGGTCCGTTCGCCTCAGCAGGATTTATGTACCACACTCTCATGGGAGCGGGCCGTTCGCCTCGGCAGTTTAATAGATGCATCTATGGTTCATGCCGTTCGACCCTCGGCAGGATTATGATGGGATCGGGTCATACGCCTCGACATTTCTATAAAATATCCTCAAGGAATCGTGCGTAATATTTGGCCAGAAGCCAGTGTATCTGTGAGTTTTTTTTTCCTGATTTGACTTATAACGACCTATTTGGTGAGGTCCATTATATATATATATATATATATATATATGTGTGTGTGTGTGTGTGTGTGTGTGTGTGTGTGTGTGTGCGCGCGCGCGCACGCGCGCGCGCGCTCCGGTTGAGGAGGAATTTGCTAATTGAGAGCTTGAGTTTATTGTAAAAAGGAGAACTATACCACGTATTTATACTTGTTTTTTTACTCCGCCTCATATTTGTTTACCTCTTTACTGTACCTGGTATTATTGGACCACTAGTAAGTATTGATGTCGACCTCTCGTCACTACTCCTCCGGGGTTAGGCTACATACTTACTGAGTACACGTTGATTTACGTACTCATACTACACTTGCTGCACATTTTTGTAAAGGTACATTTATGTCTGGTGGTCCTTTGGGTGCGGAGGCGCTGATGATGCGGGGACTTACCGCGAGCTGCATTTCCTGTTACGATCCGCAGCCGGCAGAGTCTCCTTCAGAGTTATTTATATTTTCCTGTCTAATTTGCATTTCGGACAGATGTTGTATTTGATTATCCTTCCTAGTTGATGCTCATGCACTTGTGACATCGGGTTTTGGGGGTGCTTACGGGTTATTCATTATTATAGTTGTGAAAAATATTATCATCCACCCTGTAAATTCTATTTCTTACTATTTAATTGAAGGAAATTATGATTTAAAAAATACTCAAATGATTATTTAAGTTAATCAATAATTGTTGTCTTGCGTGACATCGGTGTTAGGCGTCATCACGACCTTTTATGAATTTTTGATCGTGACAGCTTCGTGATCCCTAATACTTCTTGAGCAGCTTCCCTAATGCAGTTCACTGCCATGGATGTAACTAATATATATTATAAGAAATTAGTGCGAGCAACATTTTCTCTTCGGCATGAATGAGAACATCAACTCTCGAGGTGTTATTCATGGAGTGGACATTTGCTAACGAGAAAATACTGTACTTCTTTATTTTTATTATATGTAATAAGATTGTTCCAAAATCACCTGTCATTTCAGCTCTTCGTTGTCCATGTCAATATCAAAGATTTTTTTAATCACAATTCACACACAACTATAAATTTAAATTCCTAAAAAAGCAAAAAAGAAAAATTAAAAAATTTCAGACTGTTAGTTCATTTGTCCTACGGACGCGACAGGAGTAGATTCTATAGAACATGACAACATGAGATAATCGACCTTAATAGAGCAACTCGCGGATATAGAAATTTAAGAAAACAACAAAAAGAGCATTCACACGAATCAACTTTCATCATTTCATAAATTATAAAATTAATTTAATTACCCGCTCCCTTTCATTTAGTACGAGCCTCTTTTCTTTTTTATTCTCTCTAGTCTCTAATCTTAGCATTCCATTTTAAGCATACGGAGTTAATCTGCAATGAATTTCGCTGATTTTGCTATTTTTGGCTCCGATATTATGTGTATGAGTTATTCACTAAAATTTGTATATCTTATGCCAATTAAATCCACCCACACAAATAAACGGCAAGTATAAGAACATTTTCTCCTCAAACCAGTCAAAAGGAGAAATATTATTCCGTGTGAAACTCAAGTAGTGCTTGTTGTGCGAGGGTCTCTACGTGTGACAAGTGTCCATTGTGGGACACACAAGTTACCACTTTCAGCTGCTCTTACCCCTCTTCCTCTCCTCACTCCACCGTCACATTTCTTCATGTTCCTCTTTTTTAACTTTCTTTTTTTGTATTAAGAGGGTGTTTGGCTAAGCTTATAAGCTGATCAAACTAGCTTATAAGTACTTTTTGGCTTATTTACACGTTTGGTAAATTTTAAAAGTGCTTATAAGTCAAGTGCTTATAAGTCAAAAATAATTCAAAAGTCATAAGTTGGTCTCTCCCAACTTATCAAATTTCAGCTTATAAACACTTTATGTTTGACCAAAATATTTACTATTTTATCCCTAAAATACTTCTTTTAAAACAAAACTCCTCGTATAATTTCACTCTCTCCCAGTTCTTCATAACATAAATTATATTTCTAAAAAATAATATTATCTAATCATTTTTATAATTAAAATAACATGATAAATAGGTTATTTTTGTATTTGAATCTATCTAGAATCTAAAATTTTGAAGAAAATGATGTTTTAGTAGTGTAAATTATTATAAGGTCATTTAAGTTATTTTAACATAAAAAGAGCTTTTCAGCACCTTTTAATCAAATAGTTTCAGCTGCTTATTATTAATTTCAATACTTTTATCCAAACACGTAACCGCTTGTTTATTAAATCAGTTTCACCACTTAAAAGTGCTTTTCAATATCTAATGTTTATCGGCTACTCTAAATCAGCTAAGCCAAATGGGCTCTAAGTATCAACAAGTCCTAATCCAATTAACCTATATAAATTTTGTTCTATAGCTGAGAGAACTCTTCTTTTTTAATTCACAACAAGCAAAAATCAGCATATTATATTTTTTTTAGTAATGATAAATTATTAAATTCTGGGAAATTACTGGGTTTTTTGTTGTTGTTATTGTTATAAATCATTAAATTAATTTTGTTTTTGGTATCCTAAACTTTTAACCCATAATATTAGTGATTTTTGTTTTCTCTCTTTCTCTCTCTATTTAGATTTGTATAATAAAATATTAAAAAATCAGTTAAAGTTTGGGAGAGCCAAAGCAAGCGTGATGGGTAAAAGTTTAAACGGGTTCTTGAAGGAACAAAGTGGGCGTTTGGACATAAGAATTGTAAATTTCCAAAATATGGTGAAAAAAATTTTCAAGTCAAAATGATATTTGAAATTTAGAGTTGTGTTTGAATATGAATATAATTTGGGTTGTTTTTGAAGTTTTGTGAGTGATTCGAGTGCAAATTTTGAAAAATAGCTTTTTGGAGTTTTTTAAATTTTCGAAAATTTCCAAAATGCATCTTTAAGTGAAAATTAGAAATTTTATGAACAAATGCTGATTTCGAAAAAAAAGTGAAATTTGTTTGGCAAAAAGGGAAAAATTTCTTATGTCTAAACAGGTCTAAATATATGAGAAAATCTGAAATAGTACCAATTGATCCTAGTTTGGCATGGAAGCAAGAAGATCAGATTCTTTTTTTTAAAAATTATTTTATTTATTTCTATTCAAGATGAACCTATGAGTTTTTAAGTGAAGTTTGGTTGTTGGTATTGACTTAAAAGAATTGATAAATTAACAGATACTAAAGGCATTTTTCCTTTATGAACAGTTTTCTTTCTCACTCAATTTCTATATTGAATTAGTGAATATAAAATATATTTTTAATAGAAACCTTTTGCTTTAATTTGTCAGGTCAAAAGTTACAATTATTTGGTATAAATATAAACATTAATACAACTAAATGTTTATGTAATGTATTTTTGTTTTTTATTCTCGGCTATATCTAACTCGACTAATTCAGATTCGTGTCACGTAAAATTAATTAAAGGGAAAAACATTCTTCATTCTCACGGCTTAGAACCTGAAAAATTTAGTTAAATATGGAGTAATGATGGTGGTATGTTATATATACTATATATTAAAGTAAGTTTTAAAGAGTATCTTTTAATACTTCATTTTTAGTAAAATTTGGTCATAAAAAATCAAAGTGAAAGAATACTGTAATTATTTAATTCATTTCACCATTGAGACAACTGTGTGTAACTCCCCTATCTTGATACTTAGCTTCCACACTCCCATTCTCTCCTTCACCATTCTTACGCGATCTCTTCTAAGCTTTCTCCAACTCAACTTCTTCAGCAACTTCCTATCTCTCTCTGTCTCAGTAAAATCTCAGAGCGGGACAGAGAGAGTAATACTTCTAGGGTTTCGTTTGAGCTAATCCTGAGTTGATTCATAGGCCAAATCTGAAGGGAGCTGTTTGTATGCTCGCGATGCGACAACTAAACAGTTAAAAGGTGAGTTTTTCTGTTATTGCTTCAGTTTTGGTGCAATTTTTGGTTTTTTAATATTTTATTTTTTAGTTCAGTTACCTGCTGTGTTTTGTAGTGTTCTAGATCTGCGCGGAAATGCAGTGTTTTTAGGATTTAGTATCCAATATTAAAGTATGAAAAGAATTAATTAGAGATTAGTAGAGGATCACTTTACTTTTGTTGCATGTAAAGGAAATGGAGAAAGTGAAAAGATGGGAAAGGAGAGTCAAAATATTAAACCCCGGTGTGGGAGCCTATAGTGGTGGAAGAGTTAGAATGATAACCTTGACAATAAAGATTCCTATTTCAGTAGAGATTGCACTAGGTGAATTCTCCCATTTGTCTAAGTAGTGTGGGTATAGCTACCCGGTACATGTGTTGGTGAGAGGTAATAGATACTTGATGGAGTAGTGGAGGTGTGCTTAAGTTGGCAGGACATTGTTGTTATAAAAAATGAAAATTTAAATCTTTTGGTGGCATTTCTGAAGACACAAAAGAAAAGGAAGCAAAAAAACAGGAAAGAGTACTCTACCCAGTATATCGAGAAGACATGATCCTCCCTGCTCAAAATCTTGACATTTCTCAGTGTGCTGAAAGACAAATGTTGAAAATTATATTGGAAATACTTGAGTGCATCAAAGCGTGTATAAGTTCCAAGAGGGCGCCGCGGGG